CCACACACGGCCGGGGTGTTGGGGCATGCTCCAGCCCAGGGACACCCCACGGGTGACCCTGCAAGGGACCCCCATCCCCTTTTGTCATCTCTCAGTTTTCTGGAGCGGGGTGAAGCCTGTCCTGGGCTGCACCCCTCAGCATGCATCTCCCAGGGTGGGACCCCCAAGCCAGCCCGGCTGGGTGCTGTGGGGCCGCAGCTTTGGGCACTCGCCGAGTCACACGCTGCATTGTGCCAACAGGACCCGGTGGCCCTGCATGCCAGGGACTCCAGCCAGGTGCCAGGGACCCAGGAATGTGGCCACATCACAGCTCTTGGCTCCGTGTAGCGTGTCCCTCCAGGGACGTGGGCTCATGGGCAGGGAGGACAGGGGTTGCTGGCAGCGCCACGGCTCCCTAGAGGGTGACAGCACGGTGCCCTGGATAGCTAATGGGGCTGAAATGCGGGACTGTGGAAAGAACCGGTTTCCAGCTGGGAGAGAGGAATGCTGGGTCGGCAGCACCCATGGATGTGTGCTGATGCACGGTGTAAACCATCCCAGCTGCACCCAGCCCCCTGTCCAGCACGGTGCCCTCTCACCGGTGAGACTGGCCGTGGGGAGCAGCGTGGGTCCGATCCCCGGGGAAATGGCTCTGGCCGCGGCGGGGAAAACAATGCCAGTCTGTTCCCTCCGGGCTGGGGCTGCTGGAGAGGGGTGTCCCCGCGCGCCGGTCTGAGCCCATCACGCTCAGCTCCCAACATCTGCTTCTCGGCGCAGTTGGCTCCGTGGCTTCGTGTCCCGGGACAGCTGGGAACAATTAGGGTCCCTCTGTAGGGAAGGGGAAAGGTGACCTCAAAGGGAGATTTATGTCCTGCCTGTACGGCGGGGGCTGGGGGTGGGGGTGAGCCTGCTCTGATGTGCACAGGACTGAAGGCTCGTGCACTGGCGCTTGGCACGTAACCGGCTCTGTCATCATCCCCGTTGCCCCCAGGTCCGTTACGCGACCTGGAGCATCATCATGGACTCGGTGGTGCCGTCCGATAAGGGCAACTACACGTGCATCGTGGAGAACAAATACGGGAGCATCAACCACACCTACCAGCTGGATGTCGTGGGTGAGGAGCATGGGGCTGGGAGGGCTCACCCCGGTCCACCCCACCCTCTCGGGAGGAAACGGGTGCTGCACCCTGCGAAGACGGGGATGGGGAGCGCTCACAGGTTCGGGGCACGCTTCCCTCCCCGGCACAGTGGGTCCGCGAGCAGACGGGGTGGAAGGTTCACCTTCGAACCCGTTCTGGGGATTTTTTAATTGTGGTGGAAATAATTTCATAGACCAGACAGAAACTTTTTCTAATCGCCTTATTAGCCATAATTCCCAGCTGGGAAGGCTGGTCTGAGCAGTTCCACATGTGGAGCTGCTCTAAATGCCAGTAAATGAACCATTAAAAATGGGATTTAATTTGATTACACTGAGCAAACTGAAGGGAACAGTCAGCGAGGTGAACAAAGGGGTTTGTTAATGCTGACTCACCACAGTGGCAGCCGCTTTGTTAACGGCCGGGGCCCTCGTTAGGTTTGTTTGACCTCTGACCCCCCAAATAGGTACTGACGTCCCCATCCCTGCGCAGGGATTTCACCTGTCCCCAGCTCCAGCCCCTCCTGGCTGCTGTCGCCCCGCTGCGGGGGGGCCCTGGGGAAGGGGACATAGCGGTTCCGCTGGGTGCATCAATGCTGTGCTGGTTTTAGACCCCAGCCGGGGGTCCCCACGCGTGGGGGGCCTGCAGGGGGTACCCCTGGGGGTAGACCCCCGAACCCCATGGTGAGGGTCCCTGTGTCCCCCAGAGCGGTCCCCGCACCGGCCCATTCTGCAGGCGGGGCTACCTGCCAACAAGACAGTGGCCCTGGGGAGCAACGTGGAGTTTGTGTGCAAGGTCTACAGCGACCCCCAGCCCCACATCCAGTGGCTGAAGCACATCGAGGTGAACGGCAGCAAGATCGGCCCCGACAACCTGCCCTACGTCCAGATCCTGAAGGTAAAGCCGCACGCCGGGCTGCCCCAGCCCCTGTCCCCACAAGCTCGCTCGTCCCGTGGGGCTGGAGCGGAGCAGGGACAGCCGTGTGGGGTGGCGACCGTGGGGTTGGGGACCACCGGTTGGCAGCTGGAGCCTCACCAACCTTCCGGGCTCCGTGATGGGGTACCCCGGAGCAGCACGGGGCAGGGAGGGCTGCCCGGCCCCATACAGGCAGTGCAGTCCCTCAAGGCACACGCCGTGGGGCTGGGTGGGCTACCCCGGGGGGCGTGCGCGGTGCTGGAGGTGGAGAGCCGAGCCCGTGCTCCGTCCAGCAGTCCTGCTCGGAGCGAGCCAACCGCCGTGACTCTGCCCGGGTGGCAGGGGAGCAGAATTACAGCCCTATGACCATCCCCCCTGCCTCCCGTGACCCCCCCACACACATCCCCAGCCCCCCAAAGGTACCGGAGGGGGGAGCAGCCCCCACGTTGGCAGATCGGTGTTGATGCTCCGGGGGCTGCCGTTTGTGACCGCATCAATGTGACTCCCTGTTGTTGGTCTGTTCCAGCACTCGGGGATAAATAGCTCTGACGCGGAGGTGCTGACCCTGTATAATGTGACAGAGGCGGAGAGCGGGGAGTATGTTTGTAAGGTTTCCAATTATATTGGCGAGGCCAACCAGTCTGCGTGGCTCACTGTCACCAGACCTCTGGCACAAGGTAATCGGAAGAACACCCGGCGGGGTGTTTCCTTGGACCGTCAGTCCCCGGCGGTGGAAAACAAAGCTCTGGGCTCTCTCGTTTCTGCTGTGTTTCTGGTGCAACAAGCCATGGAAAAATACTCGGTGGGGCCGGCTCGGGTTTGTGCTCTGTGTTCGTGTGTGTGTCCCGACGTTTCTCCTGTGTGCTTCCCACCCCGTCACACAGCGGTGTGCCGGGACTGCCTGGGTGCCACCCGGGTCCCTGTGCCCCAACCGTGCACGGCTGGGATGACACGTTGCTGCATCCCTCTTGTCTCCGTCCGTCCTCGTGCCTCCCCGTGTCATGCAAGTCAGCCGGCCGGCTCTGCCCGAGCTTTATTTTTCCATGTCGCCCATTGCCAGCATGTTCCGATGGGCAGGATGCTCAGTGTGGTGAAGGGTTTTTAACCGGCATCTCCTTAGGTCCACCTGGATGAGTGGTCATCCTGAGGGTCTCTAGCAGGTCTGCAGTGGTCTCTGTCTGCTCCCCGGGGGTCTGGCAAATGAGACTGGGCTCTCCTTCCTCTCTGGCCTCCTTCCCAGAAGTTCTCATGTCGTTTGCTTCTCCGTTTTTTGCTTCCATTTTTCCTTCCAGACGGCTGGCGTTAACACAACAGACAAAGAAATGGAAGTGCTTCACTTAAGGAATGTCTCATTTGAGGATGCTGGGGAGTATACATGTTTGGCGGGTAATTCTATTGGGATCTCCCATCACTCTGCATGGTTGACAGTTCTCGAAGGTATATACTCCTCTTCCTCTCCCTTTCCTCCCTCCTTTCCAACGTATGCATCGCGGTCCGGGAGAGAGCGCTTCCCGGCCCCCGATGCTGGATAGCCCGCAGTGGGAGAGCTGCGGGGATGCTCTCCGCAGCCAGAGCGGGATGGGGCACACGTCCCCCCGCGGCGTACCCCCTCTTCCGCCCCCCTTGGGGTCTGCCCCCGGCTTTCTCCCTGGCCCAAGCGATGCATACCCAGGGGAACCTAACCAGGGGCTGCTGCGCTGGAGCGGGACGGTCCCGCGCCCTGGGGCAAGG